AGAGAGAGAGAGAGAGAGAGAGAGAGAGAGAGAGAGAGAGAGAGAGATAACTTGCTGACCCGTTGCCTTGCCTTGCTTGCAGTACCACATCCTCGGGGACAGCGTGGCGCAGCGCAACTTCCTGACGGACGGCGCGCTGCCCGAGTGCTGCGGCGGCAGCCTGCGGCACGACCACGCCGCCTGGGTGGCCTTCTACCAGGAGCTGGAGCCCTTCCTCGAGGCGTGCCAGAGCTGCGGCCGCGGGCTGGCCTCCGTCATGGCGCAGCTGGCCGAGCAGGAGACGCCCGCGTCCCCGGGGGCCTCCGCGCCCAGCGGCGGCGTCACGCCAGAGAAGTGCAACACTTCGGTAAGCGCGCCGCATGCGATGGAATCAATCGATCTAACGGCATCGGGGGAAAGAACGCTGGGGCGGCGGGCGGGGCGTCGTCTCAGACTCTCTCGGCGGCTCAGACCGCTGCTCGTTGCTCGTGCTCGGCCTGGCGCGCCCCCCACGGCGGCGTGCACGTTGGGCTGCCTGCCCGTTGGGGGCCACGGAGCGCGGCGCCCGACCCACCCCCTCCTCCCGCAGTATTCCCCCCCGGGGGCTTTGCTGTAGGCGCCCGTAGGCCACCATACGGGCTGCAGGGTTACGCAAGGACCCGTCCACTCAGTGATAATTGCGACTGCCGCTAACGATAATGATGTGAAAAGTTGATCATCATGTAACTCAGCGATAAAAACTGCATAAGACTTCAAATCGTATTTTACAAAAGCTACCAATTTTTTGTTTCTTTCATTGCTTATTTGTTAAAGATATTTTTGTTTTAATTTTTAAATAATTTTTTCAATATTTTTTTTTTCCTTGTCGTTTGAAATAATTTACTTTTTCTTTCACTTTTCACAGACTCAGTCGCTGACTGAGGCGGACACCTCGGACACGGGCAGCCTGACGGGCAGCCTGTCGGGCAGCCTGCACTCGGAGCAGAGCGCGCTGTGCCGGGCGCTGTCGCAGCCCGCGCTGCTGCGGCTGCGGCGCGAGGGCCCGCGCGCGCTGGCCCGGCTCGGCGCCCTCCAGGAGCGGCTCTCGCACAGCGAGGACGTGCGCCTGGCGCTGGGCCGGGCGCGGCGCCTCTTCGCCGAGGTGGACCGCGTCGCCGTGCGCCTGGAGCAGCTCGGCGAGTCGCGGCGCGAGCGGCTGCGGACCGCCGCCCGACTGCGCGCGCTGCGCGAAGAGACCACGCAGGTGAGTGAGAGGGCCGTCACCCAAGTGGATGGAAGAATCTGCTCTCGATACTGCACGTGAAAACTGTAGTTTGAACTATACTTTAACTGCAGTTAACTGTAGTTAAACTATAGAAAAACTCCACGGATTTCGCAAGGGGCCTGCCAACTGGTTTAAAACTGTAGTTTAACTTCAGTTTAATTTTAGATTGACACAGTACGAGTATAAACTGTAGTTAGGTCTACAGTTTTGCATTAGATCCTTCCACCCGGGATACATTACAAGTGTGCTACATTCACACACTTCCCGCACTGGAAAAAGAGCTAAAAATGTGACTGTCCAAAGTGTCTTAAAAGTGTAAAAAATGTATACAAAAAGTATAAAAAAGTATGCCGAAACAAGTGCCACCAAAGTGTTGCCGTTCCAATCTGCAATACTTTCAATATACCTAATGTATACTCATTACAAAAGTATTGCCAAAAGTATAATTTGGATGTACCTATTTCCATGCGGGTTGGGTTTCCATTTTTTTTAAACAAAATATGTTAAAACAACCAAATAATACAATTGGAAGGTTGAGTGTCGCTCAAGGGGGATGTGAACCGTCGTAGAACCTGGCGAACACTTCGAGGCAAAAGTTTCCCACCCCTTTTGCGAATGTGAATATATACTTACAATTTTATATTGAACGTATGTCAAAACCGAGCTATAGAAACTCGAATGTTCGAAACTCCTACTGTAATAAGTCTGTAAGTGTTCGCCAATTTGACGAGTGCAGTGCTGCAAGGGAAACGTGTCGGGCGTGGCGCGAGTGTCGCATGTGCCATGTCGACGCTGTTCGAATCTGGAGCGTTACGTCAGTGTATGGGTCACTCTGTGTTGCAGGGAGCGCGGTGGCGCCCAAGAGCATCGCCGACCTCTCGGACCGCCTCCTGGCCGGCGGCGTGCAGCTCCCAGGTCAGTATACAGCCGCCGACGTCGTGCAGAAGCCGGGCCCCGTCCGCGGTCCGTCTCGCTCGCACTCGCGCGGGGGGCCGGTCGGAGCCCCGGCCGGGTGGGGGAGGAGTGGACCGGCCGCCGACCGGGCACGACGAAGACGGAGTGGACAAGCAGAACGTGCCGTGTGCATTCTGACCTTTTGAGAGATGGAGCCGAAGGGGGTTCATCTCTTCTTTCATGAAAGTGAAACGGAGCGATATGCCGGGCGCACCGGGCTGCTGCCCCCGCGGCGGCCCGGCCCGCCCTGCTGGACAAGACGGCGATGGGGATGATGATAGCGCTGGAAAAGGAGAGTCCCTTTGCTGGAGTCGTCCGGAACCGACTCTGTTAATATCCAATCCCACACACACAGCAAGAAGAAGAAATAATCAACTCAGTTATTAGAATCAAGTAAAATGTGTACAAATCCGATTTTAATCTTTTTTATAAATGCGTGTTATTTTCCGACGATTTTAAAATTAGTCCTATCCGTTACTGCAACGTCCTAGCCAATATCATTCACCTAATTTTCAGATAAAATTTCACAATGTTTGGAAAGTTCTTAAGTTAAGCAAATTTGTCAACAACAGTCCCTTTACAGCAAGGTTATACAGTAGGTTGTGGCAGTAGACCCCTCGCGATCTGATTGGTCGCCGAATCGTGACGTCACCATTTGTCCTCCCGCCCGCAGTTCAAATTACGGGTCGTGTGCCCGTCTCAATATTATGTGTTTTAACAAACACAGGATAAAAATATCCACTGTATTTTGTTTTAGCACCCCTCAGCATCCATAAAAGACGATACTTTTACTCAGATGCCGAGCAGGTTGAAAGATGCGGACGGATTACAAACAGTCCTCACCTCACTCCCGTACGATCAGCTGAGCGGCCGAGCAGCGGCCATCTTGGATGTGAGGTTATGGGCGCTCGTAATCCGTCCGCATCTT